AAGATGACGACAGCGGTTATCGGGGGGCCTCAGGGAAGAGGGGAGAGGAGGGGAGGGAGGTTGCCTAGCGACACAGACAGCTTCTCGCCCGTTATGAAGCACTGATCTTTTCTTAGCAGCAGCCTTTTATGTCCTGTACCAGTGATGTGCTCATTACGATCTTCCGATGAAGATTTTAAGAAGAAAGGATTCCAGCGGGTGCTGTGAGGGTGCCTAGGAGAGCGACAGACAGGAATTTTCTCTCCTGTATCCAGATGGGAAACACTGGATTCCACACACATTAGAAAATATTGGCAGAAACTCTAAAAGTGCTCATTGGAATTAGAATACTTTGGCTTTTTAATTATTATTATTTTAATCCTCACTGAGGATATGTTTACCGATTTTAGAGAGAGGGGAAGGGGGGAGAGAGAGAAACACTGATGTAAAAGAGAAACATCAATTGTTTGCCTCCCACACGTGCCACGAGCGGGGATCGAACCCACAACCTTTCAGAGTATGGCCTGGCCCGGGCAGAGTGCTTTGGTTTTTAATTTCCTAAAACCAACGAGCTACATGCTCATGAGCAATAAGACAAGAACGGGAGGGGACAGAAATGCAGCAACACCGGAAAAGCTCACACAAGACTCAAACACTTATCTTCTCAGCCACCACACCTGCTCGGAGGGAACAAAGCCTAGAGGTCTGGGTCTGGTTCCCAGACCTTCTGTCAGCGGCTAAAACACCGTGGAGAAAGCGGGAAAATTAGGGTTCAAGTGCCAGCCACGATCACCGGCTGGCGAACATTCCTCATCCAACTGCGTTGACATGAGGAGTTCGGAGTAGAAGAGCGAAGAGAGTTGATCTCTCAAAAATCATTTTCACTCTTAGGGTGAAAAGTCAGAGAGAAGACCATCAAATACAGTTTTCATCTTTTTTCCAGCTCAGCTGTCAATCATGCTGTGGACTGAGCGACAGGCCCACGTATTCTCCAGGTGTGGTGGGTGCCGTGGGAGTGGAAGGTGGTTCTCAGGTGTCACCCTCTGTGCTCTTCGGTCCCAGCACAAAGCAGGGACAGCACCCGGAGCCTGCACCCAGCGACAGCACCACCGCAACGTGTCACCTGGAGTTTCTCCATGGCCACCAGCTGTGAGCACTTAGGGTCCGGCCCCCTGCCCACCTGCCTGCCGGCCTAGGCTCCTGTCATCACTCACCTGGTTGGCTCATTTTATTTATTTATTTATTTACTTATTTATTTATTTACTTATTTATTTATTTACTTATTTATTTAAAATGTTTTGATTTTTTTTAAAAGAGCGAGATGAAGGGAGAGGGAGAGAGAGATACATTGATGAGAGTCACTGATCAGCTGCCTCCTGCATGCCCCCTACTGGGGATCGAGCCTGAAACCTGGGCATGCGCCCTGACAGGGAATTGAACTGGCAACCTTTTGGTGCCCAACTATCTGGGCCACACTGGCCCGGCCCAGATGGCTCATTTTAGACACACAGGTATGCAGGTGCTCCCTGAAGCAAGGTAAAGCCTCTGCCTGCCTCCAGAAAGGTAAGTGGGGGAAGTCAGCTGTCTGACGTCTGTCTTTATTCTGCAGGACATGAAGTCGGTTCTTAGATGTGGCCATCGAGGGAGGTGCAATAAATGGCAGCTCACCATTTGCACCATTGTCTTTGTTTGACTTGCATGGACTTATGTCCCCAGAGACATGAAGAGCGAGTGACCTGAAGAGCCTCCTCTGCAAGATACCTGGAGCTGCTGGATCAACAGAAAATCCTCAGGAATCCAAAATGAGAGGGAAGTGAAAACCAGAGTCGGAGCCATGTGACCTGAAGTTGCTCAAGTCCTTCAGGGAGGGGGCAGGGCAAGACCTTGGTTTTCTGTCCATGTGAGGCCCCAGGGGAAACCCTGCCATGCAAGAGGCAGAGGTTGGATGTGAGACCCCCACATAAATCAGGACTCTCAGCAGATCACACTCTTGGTAAAAGGGTTGGTGCAGGACACAAGGAAGCGTATCTGTCTCCGCATGGACTCAGAATAGGAAGATGTTTGGACCCTCAGCCTCATCTAGTTGATTGAGGCTCAGATTTACAATATACGCGTGGTCTGGGAGTCTCTGGGTGAGGAACTGCATTTATAATGACTGAAAACATTAAAGTGGCGATCAACAATATGACAAGACCAACACAGCAGGCAGATTTTAAAAAGAATAAATAGAACGACTGCCAATGAAAAATATACGCCTTGAAATGATGAATGCAATGGATGGTTACATAGTAGATTAGACACCACTGAAGAGAGGCAACGCATACTGGAAGACAGACCTGAGGAAATCCCGGGATGCGGCACAGACAGACAAGAAGAAAATGGAGGGAGTGAAGAGGCGGGACTAAGGATGCCCCACACGCTTCCGTTACAGGAGAGAGGGGAGAAGGGGGGAGCCACGCTTAGACTATAAGTGGTTTGTCATTTTCTAGAACTGCTGGAAGACAGGAATTTTTCTGTTCAGAAATCATAGGAAGATTGGGGCAAATGGGGTGGAGACAGCACCTGAACCTGTCTGCACAGTGGACAGAAGGACAGATGGTCAGGGCACTGGAGCGAGGACAGACCTCCAGGCCCCAGTGCTCATGCAGGTCCACGTGGTCGCACCCATGGAGCACACGCTTCCTTTTCGTTGCCCAGCTCCCTCCTGCCGGAATGTGTCTGCTAACATCCCACTTAGGCCAAGTGCTGGCTCATGAGAAAGACCCTTGAATTTGCACTGTGTGCGCAGGGCGTCCGGGGAACAGGCCAATCACACTTCATGCCTGACGGGTGGGTAGGCGTGTGTGGGGTGCACTCAGAAACACGCGGTGTCAGGTTCTCAGTGCTACCAACCTCCTGCAGGGACACCTCCTATTAGGCTCGGCAGTGCCGTGGCCACGTGACTGCTTGCGGATTTCCTTGAAGAACTAACCACTACGTTTGCTCTCATGTTGCAAATGCCAAACACGATTCTCTATGAAAAGTACAATATTCTCGTGTCCCATTTGGACGTGAGATACCATCAAATCGTAACTCGTGTCTTGAAATATAAAAATATTGGGAACATTTATTGTATAAAAGCTCTCTGAAAGAATCTCATTAAAAATCCGAACTTTCGGCTGAGTTTCCTTTTCTAGAAGGGACAAGTACTGCTGAAAACAGTCTAGTGGATTCGCTATCCTGCCACGTATGTGCCGTAAAGGAGAGCGTGACGACAGGCAGCCTTGTCACGGGCATCCTCCCGCCCCGCACGGCCCTTGGCTGGGGGGGCGCAGAGCAAAGATGTGCTGTTTCCTGCTCAGCTGATGGGGAAGTTGAACTTTTTTTTAAGTTTTATTTTTTAAAAATGTTTTTTTATCGATTTTAGGGAGATTTGGAAAGGAGAGGGGGAGACAGAAACATCAATGATGAGTCGTTGGTTGGCTGCCTCCTGCACGCCCCCTGCTGGGGATGAGCCCGCAACCCAGGCATGTGCCCTGACTGGGCATCGAACCAGGACCTCCTGGATCATGGGTTTACGCTCAACCGCTGAGCCACGCCGGCCGGGCTGAACTTGTTGACTTTGCCTCACTTTAGGTTACCTCCCAGCCAGCGGCTGTGTTCACCCAACTCCCTCATCTGGTCCAAACGGTCTGGCATCCTGTGCTTTCTGCCTTTCGGACTTGGGCACCCAAAGACTGACAGCACCCCAGGGTGCACCATAGCCCCATCGGGGTCCTCAGGGCGTCCCCAGGCCCCATCTCTGGGCTCTGCAGTCAGACTTTTAAGCGAAAGCCTGGTTTCCTGGCAGCTACAGGCTGAATGTCTGTGTCCCCCCAAATTCATATGTTGAAACCTAACCCCTGGTGAGATGACATCTGATGTTGAGGACTTTGGGGGGTGCTTAGGTCTTGCGGGTGGAGCCTCAGGATGGGATTAGTGCCCTCTGAGAGGGACTCCAGAGAGCCCCTCACCCCTCCACCGTGTGAGGACGGAGTGAGGAGTCGCCCTCGCAGGACCCCGATTCTGCCGGTGCCTCTGCCCCAGAATTCCAGCCTCCAGAATCGTGAAAATCAAATGTCTGTGGTATTTGTTGTAGGAGCCGAGCAAACTGAGACCCCAGCTGTCTGTGGTTCAATTGTATCGTCTATACTGTTATTTAATAAATAAGTCACAACAGTTTCCACTGAGACTAAGGGCTTAACAACAACAAAGACACCTGGAGGCGCATCTCACACCGAGCCTGGGGAATTAACTGTCCAGTGGGAACCATCCCAGACCCAGGAGGGTGGGGCTGCCTGTCATCATCAGCGTCACAGGTCACGGCCAGGTGCTTGTGTTCCAGCTGTACAAGCACCAGACAGGAAGGAGCCTGAGGCCCGAGACCCAGACAGCGGGATCGAGGGCCCTAAGGAGACAGCCTGAGACCCAGACACTGGGATCAAGGGCCCTGAGGACACAGCCTGAGACCCAGACACTGGGATCAAGGGCCCTGAGGACACAGCCTGAGACCCAGACACTGGGATCAAGGGCCTTGAGGACACAGCCTGAGACCCAGACAGCAGGATCGAGGGCCCTGAGGAGACGGCAGTGAGAAGAGCCGGGTTCTGAAAGCCTCTCTTAATAAAACTCAGATGTTAATTATACACCAGGGGCAGGACACAGCCAGGGCAATCACGGTCCCTCTGAGGCTGACACGGCTGAGGAGGGTGGGACGGGGCAGGGAGCAGGTCCACCCTGCAAAGAGGCCAGTGGACGTGTCCCCAGGGCGAGGCTTCTGCACCAGCCCCTCGGGCTTCCTACCAGGGGCAGGAGAACAGGCCGCCGGGTCCACACTGGCCACTCACACTGAGAAGACCCAGCAGATGGGCTGGACATCGGGTTTGCACCCTGCTCGGCAGCTGCCCAGGAAGCTCAGGCTGGTCACCAAGCGGTGGTCACCGACAGGACACGCGCAGGCTTGCGTGTGGGGGACGGGGTTGGCGGCGCAGGCGGGGCCTTACCAGGACCATGTGGCCGGTGGAGATGTCCATGTTGGGCGGTGCCGGCTCCTCGGACCAGGAGGAGGTGCTGCTCCGAGCGGAAGGGCTGGGCATTGGCCCGTCGCTGAACTGCGAGGACACGCTGTTGACCCGGGATGCGTGCGGGGCCTCCGGGCGATCGGACGTGCGCACGGCCATGCGCTGACGGCACAGCTCCTGGGAGACAGAGGGAGGCGTGGAGTCAGTGCCCACCCGGCGCTGTGGGCTTTGTGGATCTTCTCACCCACCTGCTTGTCCTCAGAGCCACAGTGTGGGTGGGGAAGTCACCGTGACACATCCACACACATACACACCCCACACAGATGTTCGGGGAAAATATCCTTTTTGGTTCTTTTTCCCCCCAAAACACCACCAAACTGGTAAGAGCCCACACAGGAGAGAACGGATTGGAGGCGTGTGGGGAGGAAGGTACCTGGTGGGAGGGGGCTGCTTCTCTGACTAGACGACCAAAGACAATGTTTCTAGGTTCAAGGGGAGCTCTCAGGGTGACGGCCTGAAGAAGCGACAGGCCACGGAGTGTCCTGGGCCTTGTCCACAGGTGATACTCAAACATGCCGTGGCCCAAGGCCGTGGCCCTGCACAGCACCGGCCTATAGTGCTCAGATTCGAGGGCCACCAGCTCCTGTCACCTCGGGGTTTAGCCGACACTCCCCAGCATGTCTCCATAACAACATGTCATTTGGAAGCATCCTAAAGTCGTGACATGAATTCCCTGTTCTTCCCAGTGACAGTATCACTGTCACCAGGGCCAGCAAAATAAACCACTGTCAAGAAAAAGGTTATAAGAGGACCGGAGCTCAGGAGGAGGTAAACACGTGTCACGAGAGAGGGACAGCGTTGGAGAGCCGCGGGTCCCATGTGCCCCTCCCTGTCGTCTTGGTGCCACCCAGGGGAGGCCACACCCACCTGCCCCCCAGGAAACCTGTCAGAGGCCTGTGTGCAGGGCAGCAGCTGAGGACCACGGACACGGACACGGACACGGACACGGTCTCCTCCTCCCTTCTCGCTGCTGCTTTTCTCCTTGGTGTTAAAGATTTCATAAAGCCGGCTGACGCCACATAGAAACACCTGCTCAGCTCGGCTTTCCTGGGAACAGGTGTGACCCCAAGTGCCCTTCTCCAGGGCCCGGTGACCAGCCCTGCCCCTCTGGTGTTTCGAGGAGGAGCCCCATCTGGGGACGTGTCCTGTACAAACCCTCAGCCCCGTTGGAGCAGCTGGTTGTGGAAAGTCACTGTGGGCGCCTGGGGACAAAGGGCGAAAAGGTGAACTTGACGTGAAAAGGGGCGCCTGCGAGGCCAGGGCGTCTCCAACAAAAGGGAAGAACCGAGAAGAATACAGCAGGCTCAGGGCTCCACCGCCCCCTGCCCGCCGCCTGCAGGGCTCCGGGGCTCACAGATGGTCTTTCAACAATGGGTTTGTATAAAACATTCGCCCAAGGTTTCTCAGAATCTTTAAGACAAAAAAGCCCAGACACTGTGGGTAATTTAATAAGGCGAATGGTTCTAGTCACCAAGTACATTTCGCATTTATCTCCCACTTATGCACAGGGGAGGTTACCTGATTACGGAAAAAGCACACCAAAAAGTGTCTCTGCGGGCACTCCGATGGCTCAGTGCGTTCATCTAGGTGAAGAACACGTCCGACCGGGGTGTGAACACACCCGGCTCAGGCAGGGGCTCGGGACGTGCCCCCCAAGAAGGCTCCTCTGGGGAGACGGTGGAGATGTGAGGTTTCCTCACTCAAAATAAAACACCAAGTAGCTCCTGTCAGTTCTGGGACCGCCAGGGGTGCAGGACAAGGGAACCCGAGTTTCTGTTCCCCCCCGTGACTTCGTGGGCACAGTGTCCTGGACCTGAGTGGCCAGACTGTCCACTGAACACGGACGGAGCAAGGTGAGAGTCTCCACTGTAAAATGTTAGCGGCAGCACAGCTGTTGGGCAGGCAGAGAGCTCACGTGTGTAAAGGGCTCAGCCACAGAGAACGTCCACAAAAGGCAATCCGTGGGATCGCGGAGTGTCCGCACCATGAACACCAAGGTCATCTGTGTGGGTGACTCACGACTTTCCTGACGAAGCTTCTGGTGCGTGTGAGGGTCGGAGGGTCTCACGGTCCATCCGAATGACGGGCTTTCTGTGTCCAAGGACCACGTAGTCACCGGCCGTTTGCACCTCTGTGCATCCCAGCTGCTGCTCCGGCTGCGGGCTCGTGGCTGAGCTCTCCCGGGACCCACCCAAGGGAGGCACTTCAGGGCACCTTAGGACGTCCACAGGCTGGGCTCCAAGCACCCCAGGTGGGAAGATGCAGCAGGCGGCTGTGTTCCCTCTGCCGCTCCTGTGACCAGGCCTCACGTCCTGACCTGGGACGTGGGAATGGACAACGTGCTCGCCCCGTCCCAGGCTGTGGCACGAGCTTCACACAGATGCTGGGGGCACAGTGACGGCCACTCCCCGCGCTGGCTTCAGAATGGTGCTGGTGGCCAGGTGCACACACGGCGTACAGAGGGGCCAGTCCCGCCTGGGTCGGGCACAGGGAGGCCACAGCTGTGTCTGCGACAGCAGCAGAGATGAGTCGGAACCCGGGGCGCTGGAGGCCTCACTGTGGGCAGTGCCGTCTGCGAGGGACGTGGCATTTCCCCAGCGCTCTCTCCATCGGCCTGTCCCATCACCCAGCAAACGGAGTCCCCCACACAGTGCAGCCGCGACCCGGGGACCAGCCTCGCTCCCTCACGGCTGGAAACTGTCTCACCTCCTCCCTACAGCCACGTCCCCCCGGCCGTCCCAGGAGCCCCCAGTGTCCCCAGAGGCGCAGGCAGGAGGCAAACCGCCGCCCCTCTGCAGAAACCCCCGAGGGACATCGCCACGCGGTCCTTCTGGTCAGTCCGTAGGGTTGGTTAGAGTTTGTGGATTAATAACAAAAAATGTCCACATGTCTAAGGAGCCCCGGCTGGTGTAGCTCAGTGGTTAGGGTGTCGGCCTGAGCACCAAAGGGTCAGGGGTTTGTTTCCCGGTCAAGGGCACGTACCTGGGTTACAGGTTCAATTCCTGGCCCCAGTCGGGGAGCGTGGAGGCAACTAGTCCAGGTGCCCCCCCATC